GGACGATATGCACATACATGAAAAAATGCTCAACCATCAGGAAAATGCAAATCAAAAAAAAAAAAAAATGAGTAGCATCTGACTCCAGTGTGAATGGCTATTAGCAAAAAGAGAAAAAAAAATGTTGGCCTGGCAAGGAAGTGGAGAAAGGAGATCTTTTCCACACTATTTGTGGGAATGTAAGTCCCCAGCAATTACGGAAAAGAGCATGGAAGTTCCTCTAAAAACTAAAAAATGAAATAGCAAAAGCAGTATGTTTACCACAGCAACACACAAGAAGCAAAAACACAGGCTCCTGCTAGGTGTGCATCACTGGATGGCTGCATAAAGAACATGATGGGTATGCACAAGGTATTACTAAGCCTTGAGAACAGTCAATTCTTGCCAGGCACGATGGCACACGTCTGTAATCCTAGCATTCTAGGAGGATGAAGAAAGAGGATTCCAAGTCAGAGCCCACACTGGGCAAATTAGGTAGACCATGTCTCAAAATAAAAATATAAGGAAAAGAAAAAAATGTGTGGGGAACGACCCTCATGTGACCCAGTGGAAAAGCTTTGTCAATCCCCTGTACAGAAAGAAAAAAAGAAAAGCTTAATTTGTCTCCTCCCAAACTGTCGAGGACTGAAGAATAATGCCAGGAACATCTGCTTTTGAGGTTAAACGTTTATTTCCAGGCACTTCTGCTATCTATGAGTTCCAATTTCAGCAAACAGCATCCACCTCTAGCATAGGGGTGCTGAACCTACAGCACACGGGCCACAGCGACACTTGTGTCACTGGAAGCTATAAAAGCTTCCTCATCACTGCTCTGGTGCTAACTCTAACAGTCACATTAAGACCAAGCAGACAAGTTTAATTAATCATTTCAATAAATTCAAAACTTCTTTCTGGTTCTCAAAATCAATTTTGGAATTAATATAGAAAACTGTAGTAGACCTTTCAATACAAACAACTGAAACAAGAAACATCAAGCATGTGAATTCTTCTTGGTTAAAATTTTAAATTATTATAGCTTCATTTTTTAAGTTATAATGTGGCACCCAGTGAGACAATGCCCTATCATACTGTTACTCATCATTAACACTGAACTTTCTGTACTTATAATGCTTTAAAAAGTAATGGTAGGGAGCCGGGGATTTAGATCAGTGGTTCTGCTGCCTGCCTTAAAAGCACAAGGGCCTGAGTTCAATCCCTAATACTCAAAAAAAAAAAAAAAAAAAAAAAAGGTTAAAAAAAAATACAAAAATAATAACATAAGCCATATTCAAGACTACAATGTGGGCAAGCTTTTACCCAGCTTCTTTGTTTTCCCATTTGCTTGTCTTCCTGCAATAGTTATATTACTAAAATCAAATTTCTTACTTCACAAAATATTTCATTTAAACTAATACTATACTTCAAAGTTACATCCCAAGATAAGCTTAAAATGTTTACTTACAGAAAACTTCAAAATGCTTATATTTTGACTTTTTATTTATTCTTATACCTATTCATTAATATTTTTAATATCATCAGTGATCAAAGCACAGCTATTTTTAAAGTCTTATTCCTAACACCATGTTAGGAATTCTCTTGCATTCACACCCAAAAGGTCAATTTTTTAAAAAAGTTCTACACAGTAACAGACAGAAATGGCTAAGAGGAGATGAGATAATGCCTGATTAGCATGCACAAAGCTCTAGGTTCAATCCCCAGAACCAGAAAAAAGAAAAAAAATAAAAAAAATAAAAAAGCTAAAAGTAGTAGTTCCCAAATGCTAGTCCACAACTCACTATCAGGTAATGACAGCTCTAAAACATTTTTTAAACTTTAAATTCCTGGGCCGGGGATTTAGCTCAGTGGCACTGCACCTGCCTCATAAGCACAAGGTTGTGAGTTCCATCCCCGGAACCAAAAACAAAACAAAACAAACTTTAAATTCCTGACTCCCCTCCCTAAATGAAACTAGATTTTTCTGGAAAAATATAATTCTGATGCATAGGATTCAGGTAATATTCATCATTCTGTGCTCAGTCCAACTTTAGGGATAACTTTGTTATATGATTAATTACCTTCTTGGTTGGCAGCTGAATTGAACGAAGGCTGGGGTGCAGCTCTGAGTGATACATTCTGGGGCACAGGCGCCCTTACCAAAGGTGGACCCCCAGCTGGAGGAGGCCCTGGAGGAGCTCCTGGCTGGAAAGTGGTAGGCAGAGGTGGATTCCTTAAGGAAAGGGCAGAACCTATGGAAACATTGGTTTTTCACATGTCACTTAAGAAGTCAAGACATTACACCTTGTTTTTACCAAAGCTGATATTTTAATTATATATTAAAATATATTATAAGTTGATATTTTAATTATATATTAAAATATATTATAAGTTGATATTTTAATTATAATGTATTAGTTTATAATAAATTATAAGCTATAGAACTATTTTAACTTCCTACATGCATATTCTACACATTTCCAGCTCTTTACCATTCTCATCAATTATTAAAGCACTATAAACTAGCACCAAGTCACTTTTAGGTAGATATGATTTTTCACTGCGTGATCATAAAAGTGTAAGACAACACACAAAACAGTCTAGCAGAAATTAACATAAATTTGATGTTATTAATTTTGTAATATTTTGTTAATTTTGTTAACAATCTGGTCAATTAGTATCAACTGACCTTTTTTGGCATTTTTAAAATACAGTTCAAAAATACAGAGTATTATAATATTTCTCCAACTTTTGCTTCATTATGCTTTGTTTTTACTGAACACAATCTGTTGAATTGATTATAAATCTGTGCAATGTTTAGTGTTCACCTAATAACGAAGTTAAGTCCATCTTTTATAATGGCTTGAATATTTTATATATACAGCTAGGAGTGTGGCTAGGAGGTGAAGCAATTCCCACCCAGCATGGTTGAGGCCTTGGGTTCAATCCCCGGCACCACACACACACAAAATTACATAAACACATTATATATTTTAAAATATACACATATATATATATTTAATATAGAGTCTAACTAAGTTGCCAGGCTCAAGAGAGACTCCTACTTCAGCATCCCAAGTAATTTGGGATGACGAGCATAGACAAGAGGCATTTACAGCATGCCTGGCTCTATTTTTTAAATTAAATATTAAATATTACATTATTAATCTCATTTGCCTCATAAAATAGCACAAATATTATACTGAGAACATTCCCAAGGTTGAAATTCAGGAAATAAGCCAGGTGCAGTGGAAGTTCCCTATAAGCCCAGCTATCTGGGAGACTGAGGCAGGAAGATATAAGTGGAGGCCAACTTGGGCCACTGAGACCCTGTATCTCAAAAAAAAAGGGGAGAAAAAAAGGGGGAGAGGCCGGGTATTTAGTTGAGTGGTGCCATGCCTGACTCCCAAGCACAAGGTCCTGAGTCCAATCCCCAGGGCCAAAAGAAAAAAAAAGGAGGAAGGAAGGAAGGGAGGGAGAGAGGGAGGAGCCAGAAAGCCAAAATGTATATGTAACATTACAAAACACCACTACATGAGAAGTACAAAAGCACTCACTAAACTAAACTAAGAATGACTCAGTATTTGTCCTTTGATCAGACAGTATCTCCTTGCCCTAATTTTACCCCTTTTCTATATGGACAGAAAGTTCAACATACAATTAGTACACAGTTCGTTGCTCTCTAAGGAGATTCTATGTGATATCAAAAGTTTCAAAAGCTATAACCACCTGTTCCTTCACATTAACCACATTGTTTCCACCTTCTCACTGTCAATGAAGACTGGCAGGGTCTATAAAGTATATAAAATGCAATCAACTCATCTACTTTAATTTTTCATTACAAGAGTTTTTTTAAAAAAGCAAGATTTTAGAATGGGCCTAGAGGTGCACACCTGTGATCCCTGCACTGGAAAGCCTGAGGTAGGATGATCCCCACAGGTACGAGGCCAGCCTAAGCTACATAGTGAATTCAAGGCCAGCATCAGTCTGAGGTACATAGTAAACCCCGCCTTAAAAAAAAAAAAAAAGCAAGACTTTATAAATGATAATGGCAATAAGTTTTACTAACAAAGTATTTTATAATCAACTTTGTAATTTATAAAACTAAAAGAATAAAAGTATCCAAATATGAAACTTTTCAAAAGCTTAATACTACTAAATTGTTCAGAGCCAAATTGAAAAATCTTTTCTTTGTTGTTTTTTGTTTTGTTTTGTTTTTTTGAGACAGGTTCTCACTATGTAGTTGAGACTGACCTGGAACTCACCATTTGGTCCAGGCTGGTCTCGAACTCACAGCAATCCTCCTGCCTCAGCCTCCCAAGTGCCGTGATGACAGGCATGTGCCACCACACCCAGAGAAAAATCATTGTATTGCTATGGTTGGGATTCACATGCCCCCAAAAGCTCTGACAGCTTGGTTACAGCCGATGGACTTTGGGAGAAGTGACTGAACCCAGAGCTCTGAGTTCACCAAGCAGATGAATCCACTGAGAAGTTCATTAACTGAATGGCTTTTAGCAGGAGGGGCCTATTTGTGGAATTGCCACTGAAAGTTCTACCTGCTGGTGGCCCATTCTCTTCCTCTTTCCTGTCTGTGCTTCCTGCCTGCCATGAGGTTAGCAGCTTTCCTCCACTGGGAGGGAGCTTGTACTGCAACTGTGGGCAAAATGAAGGCTTCCAGCCTCTAGGCTACTACTCTCAGGTACTTTGTCACAGCAAGAGGAAGCTGCACACAGGCAATAATGGACCATAAAGCTCCTAACAAGACTAAGCAGTGCCTTGTTAGCAAAATGAAAGATAAAGATTACTACTATGTAACAACCCTATCAAAGAAGCATCCTTCCTACCTACTGCAATACACAGAAGTAAAGGAACAAAGGGGCAATGTACATTACCAGCTCAGCATGAACAAGAGCACATGACACAGCTGGCCACCATGATGTAACCATCCAATGTTTAACAAAATACAAGTAAGCTGATCATGTAAAGGTACAAGATCCCAATGATGAATGTAACTGTACTGTATACCTAAAATGTACCAATAAACTCAGTGAGGAAAAAAAATACAAGCTGAGACTCCTCACGGCTTTACAATAACATTTTTAATTTTAAAATATGCTGCAGTTCATAAAAGATATTGAGGGCTGGGGATTTGGGTCAGTGGTTCCACTGCCTGCCTTGCAAGCACAAGGGCTGAGTTCAATCCCCGGTACCCCCCCAAAAAAATTTTGAATCATAAAAGATACTGATTTTTCTCAAATTGAGGTTTGGGGGGGCAGGGCTGGAGATGGAACCCTGGCTTTTGGGCATGCTAGGCAAGCATGAAGTTAAAGAATTACTATTTATAACACTGATAGCCAGAATTTCAGAAGCAGCCTCAGATCCCCAAAACTAATGTAAAGATGCTAAAAAGTGGCCTACTAAGAAAAAATTCAAAAAATTTGAGGATAGAAACTTGGTATAAGTTAGATACTCAGCTTTTCATATCAAACTATCAGGTACTATCAATTATGAGTTAAAAAAAGTAAAAAATGAGGATTTTTTTTCTAGAGGCCTTAGAAAAAAGAAAGGGAGTTATACATTTATTTGAGGTTCATTTTACCTGTATATGTATCTTTCTTCCCCCTTTGTATGAAAAAGTTCAGAAATGTCAGCACTCATTTGTCTCACTATACCTATGGTACAGTCAGTGTTCTCGCTACTTGAGGTTTTCTACGATAGGCAAAGGAACTGCAGACTACTGATCATGTGCCCTTATAAGAGAAGCGACAGGGCCGGGGAGTTAGCTCAGTGGTTCCACTGTCTGCCTCACAAGCACAAAGTTCAAAGTTCAATCCCTGGTACCCCCAAAAAAAGAAAATAAGAGAAACTACATCTACTCTTTTTTTTTTTTTTTTTTTTTTTTTTTTTGGTACTGGGGATCAAACTTGGATCCTTACACTTGCAAGGCAGGTGGTGGAACCACTGAGCTAAATCGCCCGGCCCTCCTAACCCTCTTTGATCCAGGTTTGGGGAATTTTAAATCTGGAAGGGGCATTAACCAACACTTCACTCCCTGGAGGCCTCATCTTTTTTCTTTGTGTCATTTAATGTTTTTTTTCCCCTTTGATCTTTTCTTTAAAAACATTTTTTACATACTATATAAGACATTTACTGTTTATTGTTTCCTTCTTGAACCTAGGGGATCGAACTCAGGTCCTTGTACTTGCAAAGCAGGTGCCGGAACCACTGAGCTAAATCCCCAGCCCCTACACCTACTCTTAAATTTGCTTGTTTCTTTCTTTCTTTCTTTTTTTCCTCAGACAGGGTCTCACTGTGTTGCCCAGGAATTCCTAAAAGGCCTTGGGTTAAAGCAATCCTCCTGCCTTAGTCTCCCAAACAGCCAGAAGGCTGGCTGAAATAGTTTTTACATACTATACTTTCCCAAACTTGTATTATGACTTTGTATAAATTATTCATGCTTTGCATTTTGTATCTATAAAAGAGACTGCTAGGACGGTTAAGTCAGATAATATGTGTAATATTTTGGTCAAATGGTACAAAATAATAAATGTGTGATGAATATTACCTATAACTATTAATAAAATGAACGTGCATTAATTTCAAGTGATCGATGTCCACACGTGGTGTCAAAGGAATCAGAGTAAAAATAACCTAAAGGATTTGGGCCTAGCAATTAGGTCACAATATTTCTCCCAAGGGCTTGGGGTGTGCTCCAGTAGAACATAAACAGGGCCAGATATATATATAGCTCAGTGGTGCTGCGCCTGCCTAACAAATGCAAGGTTCTGAGTTCGATCCCCAGTACAAAAAAAAAAAAAAAAAAAAAAAAAAGGTAAGTTTAGGCCAGAGATTTAGTTCAGTGATTCCACCACCTGCCTCACAAGTGCAAGGACTCAAGTTCAATCCCTAGTACCAAAAAAAAAGCAAGTTCAGCAAGTCTGAGGCCTAGGTTCAATCTCTAGTACATCCCCAGTGCCTCCCCATAACCCAAAAAAAGATTTCAATAAAGAAACTAAAAATTTTTTTTTTTGGTACCAGGGATCGAACTTGGGTCCTTGTGCTTGTGAGGCAGGCCACCGAACTGCTAAGCTAAATCCCCGGCCCAAGAAACTGAATTTCTAGAAGAAGGCTTCATATTTTTATTTCATCTACTAGGGCAATCGCTATTCAGTGAAATAGCTCAGAAAAATAATTTCACCAGTTAAGACAGTAAGCCTGATAAGGTCTATGCTGCATAAAGATAAATAAAAGAATAAAAAGGTAACTATTAGGGGGGCACAGTGGTACACGCCTATAATTCCAGCACTCCAGAAATCTGAGACAGGAGGGCAGCAAGTATGAGCCCAGCCTAGGCAATTTAACAATCTGATGAGACCCTGTCTCAAAATTAGTGACATTATACTAAATGATTTCACTAGGGAAGTTGTCATTAGCTGGTTTCCTTGAAAATATTTGCTGAGCAGAATGAACCTACAAATACCAAAAAGGAATTTTAAATGTTTTTCCAGAGTAACATTACTTTTATTGAAGGCCCGAGGAGTTGAGGTAACTAGCCATGAATTTCAAGATGGCCTCGAACGCACTAGTTAGGCCAGGCTGGCCTCAACCTCCAGTGTCATACCCAGCAAAGTAACATTACTAATGCAGACAAGTATAAAGGACCTTGTTAATTTTTTTAATTGCTTTTTTTGTGGGGGGTACCAGGAACCAAACTCATGACCTTGTGCTTGCAAGGCAGGCAGCAGAACCACTGAGCTAAATCGCTGGCCCCTTTTAATAGCCAAAAAGGAAAAGTAAAATAGTCAGATGAACCTACTCTGAACCAGAAAGGACCAATCACTGAGTTTTTAAAGAAAATAAAATGACAAAAGCCAATACAAGACTATGTGTCTTTCTCCCCAAAGTGATAAACAGATTCAACATACCCTACTGAAACTCCAGCTATCTTTTTTGTAAAACTTGAAAAGCTGATTCTAAAATTCTTACAGAAATGCAAGGAAGCTAGAAGAGCCAAAACTATCTTCAAAGAAAAATCAATAGAAGTCTTGCTTTCTGAATTTAAAGTTCCTACAAAGGTGTACTACAGTAATTAATATGTTGGGGGGGTGGAGAAGTACCTCAGTGTTAGAAAGTTTGCTTAGCATGTGTAAGGACTTAGGTTTGATCCCACATCCCCTCTCCCCAAAAAGGTAACTCTAGTAAACTTTTAAAAAAACATTTGGTATAAAATGCTGGTATGAAAATAGACCTATATAGATAAATTAAATAAAATTCTGAGTCCAAAAATAAACTTTATGCTGGGCATTGTGGCGCATGCCTGTGATCCCAGCCCTTGGGAGGCTGAGGCAGGAGGATTGCTGAGAGTTCGAGACCAGCCTGGGCTACATAGTGAGTTCCAGGTCACTCTCAAGTACATAGTGAGACCCTGTCTCAAAAAAGCATAAAAATTTTAAAAAATTTTTTAAAATAAACTTTATGATCAACTGATTTCTCTCCCTCCCTCCCTCTCTCTCTTCTTCCCTCCCTTTCTTTGTCTCTTTCTCTCCCTCTTTCCCTCTTTCTTTCTTTCCTTCTGAGACAGGGTCTCACTACATAGTTCAGGCTGGCCTTGAACTCACTTTGTAGCCCAGGCTGGCCTTGAACTCCACAGTGATCCTCCTGAGTGCTGGGATTCCAGGAACATACCACCACACCAGGCTCAATCAACTGATTTTCCAACAAGGAGGCCAATGAGAAAAAGATCAGTCCTTGCACCTAATAGTACTGTGGCAAATGTATATATATTCACATGCAAGAATAAAGCTGTACTCCTACCTACCACCATACAAAAACGTTAACTCTCGAGTGATTAAATACTTAAATGTGAGCAAAGGGCTCTGGGTTCAAACCCCAATACCAAAGGAAAAAGACAGAGTTAGAGGACAGACTTAAATGTCAGAACTAAAATTATAAACTACTTAGAAAGTCATATAAATCTCTGCCCACTCATGAACACTAGGCACAGCTGTGCTCAGGTGCTCTCCTCCTTTCAGAGATCACCTGTTTGCTGCATTCCAGGACCCTACACAGCCTCTAGGCCAGAAATATGCCCCAAGCCCAGAAACATGGGGCATCCCATTCACCTCCCCAGGCACTAAGGCAGAACAGAGTCAATACAGGTGACAAACGGTCCCTCAAGAAATGGTTCTGCTTGTACACCACATCCCTGAAGCACTGCCATGACTGAAAAAAAAAAAAAAAAAA